AATTAAGTGCAGTGTGGTGCTACATAAGCAGATAAAAGATGATATACAGATGTTGACCAAACTCGTGCAACATCACCCTCACTTTGAAAAATCCATTTCAGCTTGCGATATCATATATAAATGGCCATGAGTAAAGTGTATTTATTCCTGACTTTATCTCCAACATCTATGTTCTCAGTTCTTTTCTATCACCGTTTGAATTTGCGCGACCTTGAATGTCGCGATACAATTTGTAGTAGTTCGGAAGTTACAGCTCTGATTTGGAAGATATTTTAGGCGAAGCAGTATGGGAGTTCATTCTTTTTCATAAATGATTCCTGTCCCATGAGAGTGTTTATTAAGCCGAGCACACGTATTCTAAATTTCTCATCTCTTTTTATTCAGTGCATAGTAAACAAGCAAATTATTGAAAATATTCTAGCTTGAATAAATTGATAAATTATGTGGCTACGAACTACTCACGCATTATCCACAACACTGAAAGAACTGAAAACGTAGTACGAGAAACACATAAGTTGATCTTCGAAAGTTCACCTTGAGGTGTGCGGCTCGTTGAATAAGCGTCTTGTAGTGTCACCATGCCCAAACCGGATGAAAATTTCAAAAGGTGTTAGCATATAATTGAAGCCGAGAGGCACATAAATCCGATGACTCAGTTGGTGTCTTATGGCAGTGTTTCGATGTGAACATAAGTCCAATTTGTTGCATATTCAACGAAATTTCTCCATCAAGACATAAACCGAGAGAGAGAAAACCGGCAATATCAAAGTAAGAGAATGCTAGTATTTGATCGCAGCAGAGAAGAGTTGCCCAAAACCAATCTGGAGGATAGTCCGGGCTGATTGCCCGTTTTTTCCTCACGCTTTCGTTTGGAAAATGATGGCTCAATTTAAAATGCAACTGAGGCCACGTGATATGAAGCTGTTATGGAACGCCCAACAAAACAAAGCATGTATTTATTTTACTAACAAATTCAGATTGCGTCGCCCGTCCATTTGGCAATGGGTTTATTTCACTGGTGGCCAACGGGTAATTCAGCATGCAGTGAAGGCTGATCTACTGAGCTAGTTTTCAAATGAATTCCGTTTTGCCTATCAAAAGAACTAAATATCTGTCCCGCCTAACGTGTTGGAAGAGAAATGAATATTGAGCGCATTGTTGTTGGTCTCCTGCATACACAAATATTGACATAGCAAAATTTCTTGCACTGATAAGGGAAGTTTTTGATAACTATCACTCCCAAAATGCATTTGCGGAAGTCATATTTTTTACATATCAAGGTTGGTATATCTTCTCGTTTGAGGTTTGTGGTAGACAAAGGTTAAACATAGATAAATTTTTTTTCACATTTATGCAGTTTTTAGAGGGTTCAAGTTCAATGTCAAAATCGTTCAATTACCGCGCAGCAGCTGAGATTTTAATTTGATCGAAAATTTTCCTCTCTATCAGAAACAGGGATAAGTAAGCTACCTCACCATTAGTCGTCAGGGGTAAGGGTGTGCGGTGTATTAGAGGAAACTTGCAAATTCTATTTGGCAGTCAACTTGGTGAACTCCATGCTAAAGGGACTGTCTCCAGTGCTCAAAAATGAGGAGCAAATGGAGCATGGACGAGATGAAATCACAATAGCTGTATGAAGTCTATGCGTCATTTTAATAAATAAATTACAGTTACGTTTTCTACTGTGACTTTGTTATCTGACAACTGATGCACCAGTAACCGTCGTCAAAATTGCGAAATTGTACATTTTAATGGCATGTGGCTAATAGAAGCAGTGGTATTATATCAGATATGTTGCGTCCGATGTGGGACAGTATCATATTTAATCCCGTGAATGAGGCTGGAAAAACGAGGCATTGAGAGGAACAAATGTGATGAAAATCAGGATGTTGCACGAATTTGGTCAATACGTATATATAACGCCTGAGGCCAAACTGTGTCAAACGAATCATGGTACAATAATCTTCAGACAAAAATAAAAACGTTCCGTGTGGGTCAAACAACGCCAGGTTGCTCAGGCCTGCTGCTTTGCGGGTCAGGCTTTGGCTAGCCGAAGGCTTCGGTTGTGGATTCCTCAAAAAGATTCACCCATGTTAGTGGGGCCTAATATGTCGTTCACCATCCATGGTTAAGGTTGCCGGTCGCCACGAATGAAAAGTAGGTCTTCATGAGTATGGTTTCGAGGACAAACAATTTAGTTGTAAAAATCGATCACCTAGACTTTCTAACTAACCGAGATAGAGGACATTTAATTGCAGTGAAATCGGAGTAGTTAGGTGTTACGCGAAAGCGAGAATATCTGATACCAAAAAATCGGATCAAATCGGTAAGAAAAATACACCTGATCGATTTGTTGTTTTGTATCGTACTGTCTTGTAATGACTTGTACGAGCAAACATGCTTGTATTTTAGTTACAAAATGTGTTTACCGTTACAATGGGGGGGGGATAGAAAAAAAGATCAATTTACTTAGATCGTGTTAATGGGCCAGAAAACGAAAAATATTTGCCCTAAATAAAATTAGAATACTACAAAAGTAAAAATACATTCATCGTCGGGAGATAAACAGTGATACATATATAGATATAATAAAGATCTGCAAAGATATATCAGAAAAAGTCGATCTCAAATGGTACACGCAACAAAAGACTACGAATATCAGACGGCCGTTGACTAGAGAAGTGAGAATTCGTAAGCAACAGTGGATGTTCATTTGTGCTGGAAAGGTCATCGAGTCCAACGAGTGATGTTAGAGCTTTCATAAGCACTTAATGTTGTGCGGTCACCCAGCTAATGCCGGAAAGGCTATTTCAACTGCAGATGCGATTTTAATGTTAAAAGTCGAATATCAAGCAAAGAAAAATTCAGGAAGAATTTGGTCACAAGTTATACAAAGGTGAACGGAGATGTAGTCCTAAACAGAAATGTGATTTGAGAATAAAGCCCTGGTGTTCTCAATGAACAAATGGAACAATCAGTGCTTCGAGCACAGAGTGGGACAAGTTGTCAATAAAAAAGTGAATCAGATCCAGAGAAATACCAATTTACTTCACAATACAGTCGATCACGCATGTACATCATGAGCTTCCAAAACAGTGCAATCGATAGTACTCCTTTTGTTGCTGTCAACTACACGGCATCCACGGAAATTCACTATTCGAATTTTACAGCTGATAAGTTCAGTGGATGACGGTTATCATCATTCAAAGATGGAATAGCCAAGTGCAATTATATAATATGCAAGAATCCCGCCAACTTGTTTTCTAAAGTATTCAATCGACGGTCCTCCTTTTGTTTTAACGATATTCAGAACGTCTTTTAATGATGGCTATATAAGAACAAAGGATTCATATTATGAGAAACGGAAGAATACCAATAAACGGACATTTTGTGAAAGATTCATATAGAGAGAAATGGAAGGAAAAACCGCTAACCTCGATAATCTTTTGAAATGTAGGAGGACAGTAATGAGCTCCAGGGAGAAGCAGCTCATTGTTCGATTTAGAACGATCCATTAGACTCAAACTAACGGCTGGTGGATTCATATGGAGGGTCGATTCGTGACGGGCTAACACGTGATTTGCGCGACCGATATTCGGAGACGACGTAGCAGCAGTCGAGTGGACGGGTGTGGAAAAGACGTCGTCTTGTGAGTGAACCACAACAGGAGTGTATCGTTCAAGCGCACTAGATACCACCTGTGAAATGGTCATCTCGTTTTCTGTCATGGTCCCGGTCTTGTCCGCGCATACCACATTAACACAACCTAGTGAATTGAATAATTGTAAGGCAATAATAAACAGAAGTTTGAAAATGCCACACCAACAACCAGGTTGATGGATAAAGTCAATTGAAAATAAAAGATGAGAAAAAGATTTTATACAAAACTATGCAACCATTTATTTGTATTTCTAAACGAGTAAATAAGTCCGATAGATTCATTGGAAAACAACGATGTGGCGAACATGCTTGCTTTCAGTGCTTTATTCACCGGTCAATCACAGTACATCATATACCTCGGGGAAACAACACAGGAAAATAGGAAAATCCGGTTTGCAGTTTGTGCAAAATGGGCTTTGAGGGGTTGGGAGATGGATGTTTAAACATTGACCGCATAATTGGTAAAATTCACTTGCAGAGTGTGAATTTTCCACTTGAATGTTAGATGATGGCACTTCGAACACATTTGCATTTTTTAACGACACAGTTACCTACTAAAACGAGGTCCAAAAAGATTAAATAAAACAACGCGTGGATCTGGTTGAGCTGAGTGTTGTACCAAAATAAGAAGTGGAAAAAACGATGAAAAGGGAGCAGGTGAGCATAATGGCATTCAGAAGAATATTTTCCCTACTGTGACCCTAATAATGAAGGGAAATTACTAAAAATTATGGATCTAATAGTATTTTTATCATTTCTTGGTTCCAAAAAATTTATTCAAAAAGGGTATCTCAACCTGTTTAACTGTGCAGCAATTAAAAGGTTTGATAGCCTTGTTTACCGTACCAGACCACATCACTAATGCATGGTCATTATTCGTTCGGTGAATTGTAGCTATGATTATATTTATCCGTTGGCAGAGTAGTAAGAAGTAAGAGGTTGACCCCATTCTACCCGAAAACGTTTATCAAGACTAATGCAAAGAGTAATTTTTGTTTTAATACATACCTAGGTGTGCTGAATAATATGATCCATAGATATGAGGACCTACTGTTCCGCTATTAGGATTGCAAGCACAATCCAGGGCTTTGACGGAACGGATTCAGTTGAAAATTACCGCAAGTGAGATTTGAATTATTTGCTGTCTGTGGGAATTGCCGGTATTTTCTTGATTGGTGGAAACCAAAACAACTGACAGAATGCCGTATTTTTATTGGTCCATTCGTTTTACAGGTGCACTCGCGTTTTTCATTTTGGAAAATTCAACCCTGTAAGAACCACAATATTTCACTGGTACATATGGCTGTAAAGCAGACTAAGTGGTTACGTCCTGAAGACTTGAGGAAACCAGAATTATTTGATCGCAGGTGCCAAATGTGGATCGTCCCAATTAATTGGCGAGACATAGTAGCAAACAAATCCCAAAGACAGCGTTATTGTGACATTGAGCAGCTGAGGTAGCTTCGACAGCAAAGTCGACTGAAATAGTTCGGTCATGTTCTATGCTATGCTACCACGGAACTGGTGAACCGATGTTTTGGCCCCTCCCCATGCTCTGACTTGTGCTGCTGCTGCTACTGTGAAAAACTGTTGAAAACGTGACTGAGCACAGTCAAATCGGCTGTTAGACGCAGAACAATCTAAGGCTTTCGTTGATAGAATCAAGACTGGGCCTTGACCTGCGCCGATCCTGCTTCCGACTGGCATTTGTAGGGAGCTGTTATCCACGAAAACAACTTACCCCGTAGAGGGAGTTAACCGCGTGAGATTAAGTTCGTATGTTCCCCAATCGCCACCAAACATTTTGCCTTCATAAAACAGTCATCGATGCACCTCAGTACCTGCTATGAATAGCAAGTGCATATTTGTTGCATGCCGAAAAACGCAAGTAAACAAAGGTCACTTATCTCTAATTTTCCCTAACAAATTAAATTGAAAAAGTGACACGCCCTTCCACCCGCATTTTGTGCATCGCGTTCAGCACAGACTCGAACATACTTGTACATTACAAAATAGTAATTGCAGAGCTATCTGTGATTACACCGCGAATTCATAGACACGGACAGACAATGAACTAATTGCATGGCACAAGTGCTTAGACAATCAATTAAACCGTGCGGATTTATGGCACAAACGCTTGCATGGTACACACGACGCAAAATTCTGTTGAAGGCAACAATGAAACAAGAACGGAGTATAGAAAACGTTTAAACGAACCTAGTGTTTCAACCGCAGGCAGTTTTCGTACAACAGCATTTCGCGCAGCCATGCGCATCTGTCCCAGGGCAAGCGTGACAGTGACCACAATGGGCAATCCCTCAGGGATGGCAGCAACGGCCAGGCTGGCGGATACAAAAAGGATGAAGCAAAGTGAAAATAGAACAGGTATGATTGGCAAACGAATTACCCATAGGGGTAAACGAATGATAGTCATTCGGTTTCGAGACCTAAACGAGCAGAGAACTAAAACAAATGTTAACCAACATGAATGATCGAGCAATTTAAGGGCATGCCAAATAACAGTCATCTTCAGAACCGTAAGATTTGGTTAGAAACCTTTATCGTTACCTGCAGTACGAGCATGGTAGCAAAGAAATGGCGGTGGCGGTAGCGCAGTGGTTTAGTCGCTGTCACTGGCATGCTTTGTACTTTATGGTCCGAACCCCACCACAGCTACCCGACTTTGGTGGTAGGCAGCTTTCCTGTCGTATGGTTCAATACCACACCTAACCTAGCGGGACTTTATGTGGTCCACCACTTCAAGTCCCGTATCTTAGATTGCCGGTTTACATCACTGAACTGTAGGTCCTCGTGACCATGGGGTTTACTTCGTCTGCTGTTCATCACATTAAGATGTGCAATAAAACAAAATAAAAGAGATATTCCCAGTAACAATTAGAGTAACACCACTGAGTGACAATGGAAAAGTCATTTGACAATTTGATGCAAACTCATACAATCGCATTCAGATCAATAGGTGTTACCATAAGATTTTTGCCAATCAATATATCCGGCAAGAGCAAGTTTCATGGGGTGGAAAAAACTGTGGCTACTAAACTCGTGCAACATCCTGATTTTTATCACATTTGTTCTTCTCAATGCCTCGTTTTTCCAGCCTCATTCACGGGATTGAATATGATACTGTCCCACATCGGACGCAACATATCTGATATAATACCACTGCTTCTATTAGCCACATGCCATTAAAATGTACAATTTCGCAATTTTGACGACGGTTACTGGTGCATCAGTTGTCAGATAACAAAGTCACAGTAGAAAACGTAACTGTAATTTATTTATTAAAATGACGCATAGACTTCATACAGCTATTGTGATTTCATCTCGTCCATGCTCCATTTGCTCCTCATTTTTGAGCACTGGAGACAGTCCCTTTAGCATGGAGTTCACCAAGTTGACTGCCAAATAGAATTTGCAAGTTTCCTCTAATACACCGCACACCCTTACCCCTGACGACTAATGGTGAGGTAGCTTACTTATCCCTGTTTCTGATAGAGAG